ACTGAGACACTTTAATATTGTGGGATTTTGTTGATACAGCCAGAAGGATTTCGAACGCAATATCACATCTCATAATCAGTTTATTTGCTTGAGTATTTAACGCATGTAGAGTTGCTGGCATATGCGCATTCTGATTTCTCCACCAATATCTTACAAATAACTTCTTTTTGCAGTGTGGATAAGTATAGTATATCAAATCCAGCAGGAAAATGCCAGATTTCTGCAGTCTGTCAGATCACCCTTTAATAACTGGATGCTGGGGTATTGTTTTTGTTTTGTTGGATCATGGTACAAGCTCCTCCTGAAAAGCTTCCCAACAACAAACACATCCTATTTATTGAACATCTCCGTTTTCTATGCATCTTTCCATTTGAGAGAGGGCTTCTTAATGCATTATTTATTGCAGTCTTAAGCTTGTATTTGAAGATTTTCCTTCTTCTTCCTGAAGTGATTTAGAACTTGACTGCTGCCTTGAGTCTTAATCAGAACGCTTCGTTAGTGTTGATGCGGCCTTATGTCTGTTGGGTCTCAAATTAAGGTAATAATCCTCTGACTGTTTAGCACTTTTTACTTGAACGGGGTGTTTAATTTATGAAGGATAGTGTTTTTACATTAAGTAATTCTCTGAAATACCCCGTAGAATTACCTCTGTAGAAAAGCCTTAATGAAGAATTATTTTTCTGCCTGTATGTACCCTTCTGCACATTAAAAACTTCTGTTCTAATTCTTCTTCTGATGTTCTAACACTGGATATATAATTCATTTTTATTGCCCTGGTCAATATTGACTACATATTTACATTTTTTTCAGTTGAACTGGCAGTCAGCTGTTGAATCAGCCAAAATCTGCATGTTTTATGCTACATGTCAAACTGCATGTTTGTAGCGATTTTGACCAGGGATTATTAAGCATTTCTTGAAGACGGTCTTAAGAAAGCTTGATATCAACCTCTTGAGCACAATGTACATACTGTGGCATTCTGCACTTCTGTAATGAATAAGCAATAACTGTGTCTGCAGGATTTTGTTTCCTGAATTTCAGGTAATGCGATACGTTCCTCAAATCGGGATCTTCTGCAACGTATCATGTAGCCTGTAGACGTCACTGTCTGCACAGTGTTGTGAAACCAAAGATCTGTGATGTAAATCTGAAATCTTACCCTACAGTACTCGAATTCTGCTTCCCACTCCCTTTTCCGTTTTTCTACTTCTTATGTTTTTAATCAGTTAGTAAGATTTTTCTTACTTTTAACCTATCTTGTGGGGAGAGAACTGCCTCTGACAAGGATGAAGAAAATAACTATATGTCTTGTATTTATTTGTTTGTGGTTAATCTTAAGTTGATTCAGTTGTCAGTCTCAGTTTTCTGTGTTGCAGTTATATATTCAGTCATGAGAACCTTCATAAGTGAGAGCATCTGCTGTGTTCATTCAAATGTTGTCAATCAGTTTGAGTGAGTTCACTAAACTATTCACAGCATTTTCACTGTTACCAGATTCTGTACGCTCCAATCCTTTGTCTGAATTTGAATGAGAAGCCTTATTAATAATTGCTGATGCTATGCATATATGCACAAGATCTATTTTCAGGACCTGTGCCTTCTCTTTTTATTCAAGGTTCTGTCTTTAAGACATTAATATATTGGTTTGTTCCTTTACTTCAATACTTGCAGAAATGTAATTTTGATTATGCCTCAATTCATTGAATAAAACTTAGCTGAACCCATAAAGCCTGTTTTTTTTAAATATAATGTTTAGTAAAAATTTTTTAATAAGGAGTAGTAGTTCTGAATGACAAGGCTGAATGACAAAAAATAAATAAATAAAAAATTCTGTCATCATTCACTCATCCTTATGTTGTTCCAAACCTGTATGACTTTCTTTCCTCTGTGGAACATAAAATAAAATATTTTGAAGATTGTTTTGACAGTCTTTGTCCATTTAATAAGTCAAAAAAAAAAAAACTTTGGATCATCATTGTATGGGTAAAGAAAGACTTTATCCTTATTAAATTCTTTGTCAAAATATATTATTTTGTGTTCCAGAGTGGAAAAAAAGGTGATTCAGGTTTGAAACGAGTAGATGACAGTATTTTTTTTTTTTTTTTAATGATTGATTGATTGATTGATTGTGGTGAACCATCCCTGTATAGGCAAAGTATAATGATGATGTTTGTTATTGGTATTAATGATAATTAATGAAAATGTTGACTTTGTGCATTTGACAACCATGACAACTAGTGTTTACCCTATAAAGCCTGAAATAATAAGATTTTATTTAACAAAACCGTTTTATTGAACTTTTAGGGGAAAGTATATTTAATTTCCTGTTTTATTATCAAAGCTCTGACAAACATATAATGCAATGCATGTACAATTAATGTACAGTTAATCATTCCTCAAAAGCCTGAAGCTTGATACTCAGATTTTAACATGATTTTTCCCAAAATTTGTAAAGATAATCAAGTACAATTTGATTCACTCCAGTAAATGTTCATTTTGAAATATTACAACAACACTTATTCTTATACACAAAAGTTATTCTCATGTTTACTTAAATGAAAAACAATAAAGATTTAACAGCAACCACAACCTGAAGTTGGATGTTTTTACAACTATACTAAAAGGCCTTTTACTGCTGAAACAGTATGAACTATCAGTCAGACAACAGAAGACATGTGAATTGTGTACAACAGGTTTTCAGCAAAGTTTTGATCATGTTGATAAGTTTAAGGTCTTAGTAATATGCATATCAAATATGATACAGTAGGCTTTATAATAGCTATACGAATGAATTCTCATAAATAAGATGATAGTAGACTATACAGTATGATAATAGTCTGACTGTTGAGTACAGTTTTGTCCACTAGATGGCAGTAGGATACAGCACAATATATTCTCTCACTAGTCGGGCAGCTCAAGAGGATGTCATAGCCTTCATCATTACATGTGCGCTGTGTTAAAATGATACTTGGCTGCTATATTAATTGATTAAAATGTATATATTTGCAAACAGTATGAGCCTGGTGTCATTCCCAGCACAACTATCAAAACATCTTAAGCTAATTATATCACCTTACATAATGTTTGAAGGTTATGCAGTCGAGGGTATCTACGATTGGCTAATTAGCAGTTTGAAACAAATGATAATTAGCAGAAAAAATAAAAAATGATATTGACTGATTAGTATAGTTAGTAAATCCAAATTCAGTCAAAGTGGGGCTTAAAATGAATGCATGAATACATATTGTATTAATGAGCAGAAAATATAGATTTAATTAAGTTCCACGCTGACATATTTATGAGATTATGTGCAGATGTGATGTCTTTTACATGTGCAGTGCCATTACGTTCTGTGTGTAAAGTGTGTAAAACCAAATGGATAGGGGAAAACAAAACAAAAAAACTTCAGATTGAAACGTGATTAGTTCTTGTGAAATTAGTGATGTTTTGCACAAAAAAAAAGTAGCAAAATGTAGGTACGAAAAATTCTAAATGCAATTTAAAACCTGATTTGTGTGATTTTGTAATTTTCTGAAAAAGATAATAAAATCTGTCAAAAAAAGGTTTACAGCTTTCATCTAAAGCTGTCATTAAGCACTACTTGTAGACTTGTATGTAAACACACACACACACACACACACACACACACACATATAGTAATAAGGCCTCATCACTCATCAATGTACTA